GGGGGGGGGGTAACCAACCTGGTCTCTTTTCTTTGGTGTATTTTCTTCTGATTGTTTACCATTATTTTGACAAATCTGCTGCAGAGCGAACTAGAAAAGGATGCTGACAAGTCTTTATATATATATAAGACAATTGAATAACACATGGATTTCTTTGTATTTTTGCGTCCCAATCCCAGGTGTCAGACCCTCCTTGCGACATCAGCTGATTCAGCAGAATCTGCTGCAAGTGGAGGCCGTTCGGCGGTTTTGGGGGGACATGGCTTACTTTTGGGCCCTTTGGTCGTGGTTTCTGATGGCGTTGGTGTCCTTGGACGGTGAGGGTTTTCCACATCACAAGAAGTTTGGGATGGCTTGTTTCTGTCTATATCCTTTTTGACCCCAGATTCAAGTGTGGCCGGATTCAATGAACATCCAGGTTTAAGCGAGCATTGAAAGGGAGGTTCATAAATAGCTGGAGGCAACTGAGCTTTGTCGAGGGCCTCAAAAGGCCCAGTTGTTCAAAGAGGGTGCTGCTACCACCACGTTTGCATGTTTGCATTCTTACGAGATCCTGCCCCGGTTCCTCTTCCTTCAATTTCCCGTGCGTGCAGGATCGGCGGTGGAAGAGGTCTGACACAGGATCGCACAGGATAATGGGTGTGATTTCCTCATTTTTGTTGAGGTCATCTAAAACATTCTAAAACCCCCGCCTCGGCACAGCGATCTCGATCTCCGACAGATCGTGGGATCTCCAAACCTTGCAGGTTCATGGCAGTGCATTCTCCGCAGAGGATCGTGCTTTGATCCTTCCAGCGGATGGTCAGGACGTGCAGTCTGTCGTGTCCGCCTTGTCCGCCTTCGGACCGAGAGGATGCACCCCTCGAGAGCTCACTGAAACGAGTGGATCGCTGTTATGACGAACGGATCCCAAGAAGACATGGACCGGTTGGTGGTTTTGGCACCCTGAGAATGACCGTTTTCCTCTACAAACCGTTACAAACCTGTGGTTTCCTTTTGTCCATGGGATCAGTTTCAGCGAGGTAGATCTATGGGCCGACTAGGTGACTGGAGTGTCATCAGACCCCACATGCAAGCGTTGCAACCGTTGCAACATGGGAACCGGGCCAAACTGTGGTAGCTCAAGTTGCTGTGATTCTTAAGGAAATGGGTGTGGAGTTTCATAGGGAGAACCGAACCCTCAAAGCTTGCTGCAAAGGAAGAGCTTGCTTGAGCGGCCAAGCGGGGCCAGGGAGGTCTCCCCAATTCCAATTGCACACTCAGAAGGCTCCAATTCCACCGTCCTCAGACGACGCTGGAACTCGTTTGCCAATCAGAGATGTTCCATGTTGAGCGACAAAGGCCTTGGAACTCGTCCATCTCGTCGTTCAGGCTCAAAAGGTGGGGTACCATGCTGCTGGCACCCCTCAGTTCTCGACATTAGGAGCACATGTCCAGGATCTAAGATGTGTTTGTGCACCACAATCGGCATTTGGAAGATGAAGGCCTCAGGCCTATGAGGAATTGAGCGAGACCGGCAAATGCGATAGCCACGTTGGCAGTCTTGGGACATGTTGAATGATGTCTTCTTCGTTGACAAGACATATATCACCAGACTCTAGTCTTCAGATAGTCACCGGAGTCAATTCTATAACCATTATTATAACCCATGCTGCATGGCTCCAATAGTTCTTTACACCAGCTGACCCCACCTCCTCTACCTATACTCGATGCCTATTTGCCTACCGGCAGACTGGCAGGAGTGTGGCCAGCCGGATGCAGATGATTGGGACGAGACTTTGGAACAGGTCGTGCCCAGTGTCCCCGACACTCCTGAGACCCTCGATTCGCGCGACTCGCGACGCGATTCGCGACGGAGTCAGCGATCGAGTCAGCATGGGCGGGAAGAGATCAACGTTTGGTCAGGCTTGGGAGTGGGAGGAAGTGTGGGGAGTGGGAAAATGCAGATAAAGAATGACGCCGTGCTGAAGACTGCATTTTGACTCACATGAAAATGACATATAGTATCCCCCTAAAAATTCCCCCTACAGATTAGTGCAACCTGGGTACTCCCGAGCACCCATTTTATAGAACTATAGAATTGAGACACTCAGGTTCCTTGATTCTAAAAGGAGACCACGAGATACCACGGGAAGTTTCCGACAAGGGTGCAATTTGACCTGGGGGTCGTGATTCTAAAGTGATAGAACTCTGAGATCTATGTTTCCGTGAGCTTTGTACTGGTGACATGGGGACTTTGATTTCTTAGTGGCAGACATGTTGATGGTCATTGACTGATTATGATTCTATAGAGGAACAACCTTTGAGTGCTTTTTTTGTGATAGAATCAGAGTCTTTTGAGCATATAGTATTACAAGGAATCGGTCTGTGAGATGGGGGTTGTGATTCTTTAGTGTTGAAAACTTCATACATACTTTCCGTGAGCTTTCACTTCACGACATAGGGGCTGTGATTCTATAGCGTGCGCTTGAGTTGGGGGGCATGATTTTATAGAGACCCCCACATGGGGGGCGTGGATCTATAGTATGAAATGGTGCTACCCAAGTAGCCATATGAATTTCAAAGGGGATCATATAGTGGTGTTCAGCAAAACTGCTAGTGAAGTCTTTCCAGGGACCGTTTGTTACCTTCCATGACAGTGAACCGTTTGGGTTTGATTGCCACTGGCATGCTTTCATTTGTTTGTAGGCCGCCCAGGTGGTTGGGGTTATCCTTAGCAGGGCCGCTGGTGTTTGAACAGCACCAAACTCTACCACAGAAGCACCAAACCATACATGTTAATATACTGGTAGCTTCTAGATGCTTCTAGCAGTTCCATGTCGTTTGGGGGTCTGGAGGCCTGCTTGGACCAATCAGTTGAGAGAATGCTCTTCGCTTATGCCAACTGAAGGATTCAAGAACTTCGGTTCACACCCATGAGAACGAGTTGAAATTCCTGGAATGTCTCGGCCGATTTGTGGTGGATTGGTCCTACTAGGGTCCTACTAGGGTCCTACTAGGGTGTGGTCCTACTAGGGTCCTGGTCCGGTGGACCCTCTCGCCTTCCCGGGTCGTTCACCGCCGTGGCACTGTTCCGGTCGGGACCGGACCGAGGAACACCTCCGCGAAGCTGCAGATGGAATGGTCGGGAGAGACGCAACAGAAGCTGTGCTTCTGCGAAGCGCCACAATGTCATGTGGCAAGAAACGCACGACTGAAGACCACGCCGCAAAGCCAATTCCGCCGCAAACCTGTACCTTTGAAGGTCCGCAATTCCGGTGTAAAGAAAGCACGACACGTGCGGCATACAGGGGGCTGCCCCAGTTTGTTGGCCCCTGGTGGCGTGGGGCGACATGGGGCGAACCTTGGGACGAAGCGGAGATCCGACGTCAAAAGGGATCGCAATGGCTGAAGTCTCAACATTCATCGTCACCCAGTGCCATATATGGATGAGTGTGGAAGACGGATGTTGGAAAGACGATTGGATCATAATTTATCGTATATGAATTCATGAACCTTCCAGAGAGGGTCGTTTGATGTCGGAGCGCACAACCCGGGGTCGCCATGTGCAATTGCCACTGTGATCGTCTAGTAGACACCAAAAAAGGTACCATCCAATTGAGCAACCCACCAGCACATGGTCAGACACGGCACAGTTTGTTGGCCTTGAGGCAACGAGAGTTGGCGCTTTGGGCAAGAACAAGTCTTTCCAGAAAAAGACTGTCAGCCGATTCGAAAGCACTTCGAGGAGGAGAATCCGTCAAACGTTTGCTGAGGTGAGGCCAATAGATCTCACGTTCGGGTTGTTCAAAGTATGTCGAGCTGTTGTCGACGGCCTTTGGGCCTTTCAGGGATATTAGGGGATAAACATACATGACGCTGTCCAAACTTTGTCTAATTCATTTCCTGTTGAGGAACAGGAACATCAGCAGAGTGTTCCTCGCATGACAGCTGATGTATTTGGAATCCTTGACTTTCATTCATCATCTATGGTGTAGAGTGAATGTTCCAAGGGGAGTTGAAAGTATCATGTGTGAAGCAATCATATTTGTTGTGCAGCAGGTCAATTGCACGGTTCTCGCGCCACTTACATCATCCGACTGACCCTGCTGTACATCCGAAGGTATTCGTCCTGACCGACTGACCCTGTCACCCACACGATGTTAGGTGGATCTGTCTAGACGTGGGTGTGTGGTGTGCACGTCCGGGAGACCCTTAAAGAACACACCCTCTTTCGTCCTCGTCCGCGTCGTGGAAGGCCACGATCCACTGCTTCAGCGCAGGAGACTCGCCTCAAAGTGGACACGCCTGGGTTCGAGGCGGGCACACGGGCACTATCCATTCGTTGCTGTAGACTGGAGACTGTGTACTGCGGTTAGGAAAGGGAATCTAACTCATATTGGACCAGTACTTTGGTGTAAGGTTCGGCTCAAACCTTCCAGGAACTTCCAGGCTGTGTTTGGTTGTAGCATGTTGTAGCCGGTGGTAGCCACTTCTTCTCTTCACATGATTCAGTGGGTCCCAGAACTTAAAGGGATCTCCCTTTGAGATGCCAGGGAGTGTGATGTTCACCTGGTGTGAAGCCCAGATGACATGGATATTCCCAACATGGGACTGGTTGGATCTGAAAATGTAAGTCACATGAGCGGCAGAAGAACATGGTATAACATGGTGAAGTCCTGGAATCCTGCAACAACCGCTGCTGTTTTAGTATTAAGAAGTTTATTATATGATGATACTTGTGGTTCTTGACACAAATACAAGTTTATATGAACTTGAGTGAAAGCTCCAGTTCATGCTGGTTCACTGCTGGTACCTGACATGTCGTGCTTGGACCTCCACGCGGGAAACCGAAATAGACGGGCCGAGTGGGAACCGGCGAACGCCATCGGCGGAAGCATCAGAACGTGGACCTGTGTCATCTCGATTCGATGGATCCGCCGTGGTTTCTGGCCACCGTGCCTTGGCGAACGGCTTCATCGGGAGGACTTGGGAGGCCCATGGAGTCGGGTGAACGTGGCCTATTCGGTTCGGAGCGGGTGGGTCGGGGCGATTTGATGTTTTCCTCCAAAAGAAGACACGGTGAAATGGACACAGATGGAGCGAGGTTCCCGTCAAATTCACATTGTGTCACTGTTAGCTAGGTGTACTGTAGCAGGTGATTTAGATTGAAGCATTCCAGTGCCAGTATCATTCAGATCGATACTAAGAAAGAAAGCATAGTGGCATAATGTAAACCAGCTGCTTTGTTTTTTTCTCCCGTCACGATGCTGAGGTTGGCGAGAGGATGTTCGGTATCCCTTCCTCTGAGACTTGCAAGGGCCATGTGCTGGAGTTTCGCTCGTCCAAGGGCCATCAGCTCGTCCCCAAGCGGCATGAGCCTTGCCTGGGTGGCTTTCGGTGCTCGGCACTGCGGAGCGGGTTCACCTCGGAACTGCGGTGGAAACCCACCAATTCCTTCGATTGGGGTCTGTCAAATCGGGGGTCTTGCCATCAAGCCGCCCTGCACAGACCGGTGCGAAGAAGTCCTTGGACTTCGATGAAGAAATGCCACTTTGGCAAGACAAACGATTGGACATGATCTTCCAGGTATTCTCTCCATCGTTCGGAAATGATCTTCTAGTTTGATGGGTTGTTCGATTGGCATTTTAGTGTCGGCTATATGATTTGGCAAGCAGTGCCCTGCAAAGTGGTACCGTACCTCCATGATTATATCATGCACACTTGGAGCATTTACTTGAATTGGTGGACCATGAGATCAACATGTCATCCAAGTCAAGCTGAATTGCTACAACTACGCTTCAGTGTGTTTGGCTCCCTAGTGCAAGAATGTGCGTGAAATCATTAATTCTCACTTCTCACTATTCCAGCAGGCCAACTTGGGTATGCTCAGCATCATTGCCATCCAACTTCAGAAGTGCAAAGCCTTCTTTTGGTAGAGAAATGTAAATGTATACAGAAAGTCTTCCAAGGAGGCATGGTCCCTTTGCTTATTCAACTCTGGGTACTGAACCGTGGAACCGGTTTCGTTCTGCTCGAAAACGCACTGAACCGATTGGTCCACCATTTTCCCAACCGCCCAGGAAATCCCGCTGTCCAAGCAGAAAGATCGCTGGCGTGGTCCAGGCAGCGTTGTGGGCAGGTACATCTATGCGATTGACATGGAGGGCAGCTATGGTTGCATTGAGAGGCGGTCAGATGGTGAGATGTTTCTGAAAAGCTCTAGGGAAGGTGTCCCAAAAGTGGATCAATCAATTCTATCATCGGGCGGGTTCGTAGATATTGGAAATCATTGTAACTATGTCATGTGCCTTCAATGGTGTGTGGCTGACAGATGGTGAGCAATGGTGGTTGGTCGTGGGGATATCCAGAAATCAAAAATCCATCGCGTTCCTATTTGATCCATCCCTAAAGTGCTTTCTTGTATTGGCAGAATCCTGGAGCAACACCGCGCGGGCTCCTAGATACTTTTTTGGTCAATGAAACTGTTGGCAGAGGTCTAGGCCCCTGCAGCTCCCCTCCACATTGGGTTGGTTTTTGAAGTGCTGAGGTCAACGTGTACTTGTGGTGGACGTGAATGAAGACCCTTGGCTCTGAAAGATGAGTAAACTGTTGCTTGTAGTTGGACTGCTCTTCTTGCAGTTGGGCCCGGTGTTCACCTACAGGTGATCATTGAATGAGGATCATTTGTTTTTTTTCTAATAGCTATGAAAGCTCGATTTATGTAGGCCCAGCTGGCCCAGTTGGACTCAGTATGAGGACTCGTTGTCCATGAACTGGTTCAAGACCTTCAAGGATGACGCGCCGGAAGCTGGCTCTTACTATGGCATCGCTGCCACTGAGACGAGTCGCTGGGCTCGCTGAGTCACGAGACGGACAGTTGGGGCAACAAGTCACCATGGTGGGGATCCCCGCGGTTGGTTGTTTTCGGTCGGTTTTGGGGTCGAAAGAGTGGAGGTTTCGGCAGGAGGTGTTTGCTTCAGATTTTCCGGTGCGACCTGGTTAGTGTTGTCAAAGAAAACCTGGGTGGATGACCTTAGTAGTGAGTTGGTCAACTTGACAAATTGCAAAGATCCAAACGCATTCCGCATTTATTCATATTGTTTTCCTCATTTGCATCTCAATTCTCAACGCCTCAGCTCAGCAGCGCACAAACTACATACTGGAGCAGAAAGTGGTACATGTGCTCAATACTGCCAGCGGACTCTGCAGATCAACCTTCCGCGCCTTGTAGCATCTCCGCTTCATTGATTCCTCCAAACTCTTTGGGAGTCAGGGGCCATGAGGACGCCATTTCCCAAATGATCCTCATGTACTTCCAAAATGATCCTCCTGCCAGCCCTCCCTTTCGTCCTTCATCTGGGTGAATTTCCGAAACATTCAGACGTCCGTTCAGACGTCCCATGGACCCGTTCAGACGTCATGGACCCTGGAACTTCCCTGAACTCCAGCGGTACCCAAGGGGTGGTCATTAGATGGAAAAGACATCTTCAGGAGGGATCTATACACCACCCGAACTGGGTGGTGCTGGTATAGAGTGACGTCTAACTAGGTTCCAAGATTTGGAGATGGAGATGTGCCATTCAGAAATACGCCCACTTCCGTACTTCCGTAAGAGGAATCACTTGCTAGGGGACACCTGGGAGTCGATCGACTCTCTTCCAAAGCATGACCCATCTGACCCATGGGACTGGCATATCTACCAGATACCTTGGGGCGGTTTACCGAGGGGTCAATGTAGGCATATATACATCCCGGATCATCCGGGAAGATTAGTAAGCAGCCTGAAAACCGGTTTCTATGAGGAAGACCATCGGAGTCCGGGTGCCAAAAACGGATCCATGTGTAATCACGAAAGCTAGCGAAGCTAGCTGGAGTTACTCTTGCGATAGCAAGGTTTCTTTCAACCGGGTGCAAATCCTAACCCCTGATTTTTCAGGTCGAAGACCCCCCCCCCTCCCCTCCCTCCCTCCTCCTCTCTCCCCACCCCTCCTCTCCCCACCTCCCCCCCTCTCCTCCTCCTTGTCTTCCTCCCATCTTCCCTCCCTCCCTCCTCCCTCTTCGCAAGTTCCACTCCGTCCTGTCGTCGCTCTTTGGCATGCGGTTAGCGTTGCGTATCTTGCGGCCGCACTCGCTCACTCTCACTCTCACTCTCTCACTGTCTCACTGTCTCACTGTCTCTCTCATCTCTCTCATCTCTCTCTCCTCTCTCTCTCTGCAGGAGGATCCGGGCAAAGAGCCACATATAAAGGACTCTTCACCCCTGCCTCCAGAAAGAGCGCCGTGTTTTTTCCTACCTCGCTGCCCTCCACTTTCCCATTCTGGAGCGCTAGCTTTCGCCCCCCCTTGGCCTCAAGTCATCGTGTACCAGTCGGCTGAGCGGCTGCGGCTGCTCGCAGCGGCTCGAGCAGCTCGAGGTGTCTATTTGGTTCCGGGCTCCGCTGAGCATGTGCGTATCTACGATCTGGAGATGCGGAGTCGGAGATGGCTACTAGGTATACGGTATATAGAGGCCATCGCTACTAGGGTAGAGGCCATCGCTACTAGGGTGGAGGCCATCGCTACTAGGGTGGAGAGGGTAGAGGCCATCGCTACTAGGGTAGAGGCCATCGCTACTAGGGTAGAGGCCATCGCTACCATCGCTACTGGCCATCGCTACTAGGGTGGAGGCCATCCCTACCAGCAGGGTGGAGGCCATCGCTACTAGGGTGGAGGCCATCGCATGCCATCGCTACTAGGGTGGAGGCCATCGCTACTGGGGTGGAGCAATTGCGTGCCATCGCTACTAGGGTGGAGGCCATCGCTACTAGGGTGGAGCCATCCCATGCCATCGCTACTAGGGTGGAGGCCATCACTATAGGGTGGAGCCATCGCATGCCATCGCTACTAGGGTGGAGGCCATCGCTACAAGGGTGGAGCCATCGCCAATAGGGTGGAGCCATCGCATGCCATCGCTACTGGTGTGGAGCCATCGCATGCCATCGCTACTAGGGTGGAGGCCATCGCTAACCAGGGTGGAGGCCATCGCTACTAGGGTGGAGCCATCGCTTGCCATCGCTACTAGGGTGGAGGCCATCGCTACTAGGCTGGAGCCATCGCATGCTATCGCTACTACTAGGGTGGAGACCATCGCTACTAGGGTTGGAGGCCATCGCTACTAGTAGCAAGAAGCTAGTAGGTTGGAGGCCATCGCTAGTAGGTTGCGCGCAAGAAGTCTGGTAGGGTGGGTTTGGAGGAACTGGCCTGCTACTCTTTTGGGTGATCAAAATATCAAGTTCATGGTGACTGATTGTTTCTTCGTGTCTTCATCACCCAAGAAAAAAACATCCCCACCCTGCAGAGGACCCCAAAATGACCTCCTTCTCATCAACCAAACCCTCCACGGGATCGGGGGCGGTGCCCACACCAGGAGTCCAAAGGGTTCAGGGATCGAGCTTTGCCGCAAGACTGGGAGAAGCACAGCTCCTGGCACCGCGTCCGGAAACCCAGAACGGCGCAACAGCACCGGATTCGTTCGACTGCATGTGTGGGGTGGAACCCCATGTGCCCGCCAGGGGAACTGATGTTGGAAAGCAGGTTTCCATAGGTTTCCGTGTTTCAAGACAGCCCTGTTAAGATTTATCATGATTATAGTCCTCAGGGCTTTGAAGTCTGGATTTGACAATGAAAGTTTGTCAAGCAAATCCAAACCCGGTGCCACCGTACTGGGTACCTAGAACCTCCATGTTACAAAAGAAAGGGGAACATGTTTTTTGAAGAACAGGTCACAAACATGGAAACAGGGAACACGTCCTTTAAACAAACTGTCATAAGGAAAATTGGAACACCGCAAAAGACATGTTGAAGTTAATCACTGCCATGTTTCCACCTCAGGCTCTTTTTTGCAATTGTTTCTTGACTCTCGCCTTGAAATCCTCAAACAAATTCTCACAATGAAGTCTTCATTAACTTCACAATTTGATAGTCTGATCTCCGTGGCTTACATGCTGTTTGGTTTCGAAGACGATCTCAGTCAGGCTATGAAACTTGGTTTACTCATTCATGGTCCAATTTTCTCTCCGGTAGATACCGCTACAATTCCAGAAATTTCTGCTAAACTAGTTATTTTCTTTTCCCCGCAATTGTGGTCAAATCTGTAATTCCACACTTATTGTGTCCAGATCAAGCGATTAAATGCAATTAAGCTCAAGTCTTTAATTTTTCTGGCCACTGAATTAGCTTGCTACGCCTCAAGTAGAACATGCACTCTTGCAAGTATCTGGCCGGGAATCTTCACCAGCCTTCCAAGCATTATGAGCCCCAAGCGGCTACATAAATATACTCATGACAGTACTCATGACATGATGCGCTTCGAAAGTATGGAAGGACATCCCAACCACTCCAAATTCTCAAAAATGATTTTAAAGAAAAAGTAACCTGCGCCCTCAAAAAGGAACAACATGGAAAAACGCGGTTGATCCACAATTGTTCCTTTTCTTTTTGTGGTGCTAGGTACCCTATTTACCACCATCGAGTGCAAGATACCCTGCAGTTCAGAAGATATTGTGAACATTGCAGTTTCTTTTCATCCCAGATGTACGTGGCACTGTCCACTTGTCTTAGGAACAGTTTGCAGAATGCAGTTGGAGATAGTGTCCCAAGTACGATTAAGGAAGGTGACTGACCAGCATAAGTGACTTCCCGCATAGTTTTGATAAAGTCATGGTACCAAGTTAGGGCACTGTTGATCCAAGATTCATTATCGTCAGGTTTTTCGTGACGGGGCTGGATCAACCGGAATGGAACACTCCATGTCCGCACGAGATGGAAGCTGTTTTCCCGACTACAAAAGGAAACGTGTGTCATGCTTCCGGCATGCGCAATTTGAGCACCACAAGTCTTTACTGCATCCTGCAAATCTAGTCGAGCGAAGACTGCACGAGAACCCAAGATTTTGATACTCGAGTGTTACTACATCCACAGGTGTCTCTTTTCATTACACCTTCACGGGTGTTTCAACAATCCCTGAGCTTGGAGTCCTTTTTACTTTTGTTTGAGTTTATCCGTTTAGCTTCCTGTGCACACGTGTGGATGGTTAGTATAGCATGTCGTACAAGTGGCATACCTGATTTGTCAAAAGAGGAACGCAGAGAGAAAAACCTGAGTGTCCACGCTGGCACCGAGGATGAGGAGGATTGTATCCAGCCGAAGGGATCTTATTTTCAACGAGAGATCTATGAAATGGTGTTGGAACGTTGTGGCAACTTGGACGGAAGAGAGATTCGGGGCATGCCGAAGGTGGTGATTTTTTTTTTTGTTTTTTCAGGGCCCCTAACGTTCCCCAACAACTTGTGTTGGGAGCTTCTCTATTTTTGGGCTGGAAAGGTGTTGCAAGTTGCAGGGCAAACAGTGTCCGAAGTTATATCTGCTGGGCTGCGTTTTGACCAAGTGACTCACATCAAAATGGGCTGGTTGGATGACTCCGATGCTGTGGTTGTGGATCACAACCTGTAGCATGCACTATGGTCGACAAAACTACAATGAATCCAGCACCAATTTATAGACTACTATAGTGTGGTTCTAATCTAGATATGTTGGTTCTATCATGTTGTACAAATGCAATGAGTGCTGACAATGATAGAAGAGGACTGCGATGCCAGGGTCTAACAGCGATGGCCTCCAACCTAAGAGCGATGGCCTCCGGCGTCAAACCCACGAGCGATGGCCTCCAACCTAAGAGCAATGGCCTCCAACCTAGGAGCGATGGCCTCCAACCCAAGCGATGGCCTCCAACCCAAGATCGATGGCGTCCAAGGCCTTCAACCTAAGAGCGATGGCCTCCAACCAAGAGCGATGTCCTCCAACCTAAGAGCGATGGCCTCCAACCTAAGATCGATGGCGTCAAACCACGAGCGATGTCCTCCAACCTAAAAGCGATGGCCTCCAACCTAAGAGCGATGGCCTCCAACCTAAGAGCGATGGCCTCCTGCAAGAGCGATTGCCTCCAACCTAATAGGAATGGCCTCCAACCTAAGAGCGATGGCCTCCAACCTAATAGCAATGGCATCCAACCTGACAGGCATGGCCTCCAACCTAACACGCATGGCCTCCAACCTAATAGCAATGGCCTGGAACCTAAGAGCCTAAGAGCGATGGTCTACTATATATTGGAAAGCCAGTGGATTGAGCCGCATCATAGGTTCTAAGAAAGGAGTCTTCATCAATGTGGGGGCCCTGGATCAGACTCTCCCTCGCCCTGGTACTCATACATGTTCTACATTTCACGAACGGCGCACATAACTGAACGATCCAACTGAACGATTTTCTGACATACTTTGATCAATCCTGTTTTGACACCCGTTCACCTCCTCGTCGTATCTCCAGTGTTTCACGTTCAGCTTCTCTCCAAGTCCGAATGGAACATGGACTAAGAAGCTGACTTTCAAAAGCACTTTATTTGCACAACATTGCACAACTATATATGAATAATATGAATGATGGCGACATGTTGCTCCGTCATGTCTCAAATACCTTGGACACCTCCTTCATTCATGGAGTCTTGCGTAGTCGATGGTACGATGGGGTATTGATGCATAAATTCAGGTTGTAGGTCATTCGCAAGCACCTGAGGCAGAAACCAGAATCAAAAGACACTGCCTCAGGCATCCAGCAAGCTGAGTCTGTAGGTGGAATTGTATGCAAATTTTGTCTTATGAAGTGTTATGATCACTGATTTGTTTGAATGTTGTGCTATTTGTTGCTTCCACTCACTATGTGGGCTTGTAGCAGATCTCAACCACTCCTCTTCCTATTCTCACAGCTAGTTGTGTGTGTGAAAATATAGATTTTAAAAAAGCAGAACTTGACAGCCATGGCATCTTGACATGCCACGTTGATCGCCTAAGGAACCGCAGAAGAGGTCCAAGGAGCTTGCGATCACTTCTATAGAGATCAGGCCCGGCCACGGCCGGGGTGCTCCGCCATGAGCGGAGTCGAAAATCGCTCGAGGTTCGACAGGGAATTGCAAGGTTCATAAGCGACTTGCTTGTGACCCCAATCAGCTCCCCTTGCTTCCAAGGTTCATAATGATCAAAGTGACTTGATTGTGGTGATATCATGTGAGATCGTTTGGCGACCCCAGAATCACGCCCCGTTTCAGACACCTGCTGAAAAACCTTGTGTTGTGGGTGTTTGGAACGTCACGGAGATCGGGTCTGAAACCTTTGATATGAGATTGTCCAAAAGCAGGAGCCACCGATTGGATTTGGATCTGAGGCCCAATTCAGAAGATTGATAGATGAGGCTTTTGAGATCATCCCAGCTTGAATGAATAGTCGAATTGGGACACATTAGGACACAAATACAGGAATCAAAACAACACCTGATGAGTATACAGTATATACGGTATCTATATATAGTAAATATTAATGACGTGGCCGAATATCCATTTAGTCTGACCAACAGGGAATTTGTGGAGTTTGTCAGACAGCAGAGCGAGTTCACAACAATGAAGTACGAGTCGAAGCTGGCACAGAGGGGCCAACCATGTCGGTCGCCGCTGCATTCTTATATACTTATTTGTCGCAAGAGCGAGTCTATCGATGATGACTTGTCTATGGATGTTGTTTCTCCACATCACATGATTAGGGTAGCTGAGTTTAGATATATAGACAAACCCACACAGGGTCCTGTGCCCTTAGCGCATCACCCAGGGCAACGAGAAACACAACCATACACAGCAAACCATGATACTGAGAGCACACTTTGCAACACCATCGCCAGAGCATATGAGCCGCGTTTTTGGCGCGATTTGGTGGTCCAGCAGAGACAACCCGGACAATGACACAAACACCACGCAATGACACACGCGCACACACACACATGCACACACTCACTCATGATGGCAACCAAAACAAAAACCACAACACACAAAACATACAATGCACAAGGACAAACACTACAGCAAACAATGACACTGACAACACCAAATGAAACTGCAGAACCGTTGGCCCCGGGATCCCTCGACAGTCACCCCGACCGAGTTACCGTGCTACCGGATACATGTGGTGGAGAGTCAGTAGAGTCAGAGTCACTGCTGGGTGGTCGACCGTTGGAGTCGAAGTCCAAATAGAATGAGTGGCCTTGGTGGCCCTTCACCGATAGGGTCCATGTACACCGACCGTCTTCATTTGGAGATATTTTGGAGCTTCGATTCAGTGAAGTCCAGCTGGACGCCCGATTTGGACATGACGCCAAAGATAAAGACATCGGGAGTGCGTGTGTGCATCGATTTGAATCCGGAAAAGGCATTTCTACAAGGTGTAAACATGTTGAATTGAGGGGCAATATTGCACGAGGACTGCTTGATCGGGTCTCGGCTGGTCCGTTTGTGCTCATTCATGTTTTTCTGGCTGGGGCGATATCTCAAAACCAGTTGATTCATGTTGTACAGGCTCATCCCCATGACATGACTATCTATAAGGACTTTGGGTCTCCTTTCGTGAGAGGTGAGAGTACCTAGGCGCGGTCTGCCGCGCCTGGTCTGCCGGACCGACGTTGGCCGGACCGTCAGGTGCACCGATCCTTAGCCAACATGATGAGCCTTGACATCGGACGGGAACAGGGCGGTTGAATTGAGGGACTCGGGGGGTCCGGGAACATGTGGGCAACCAGTCCCTTTCGCATCCGAAACCGGTTTGGCACCCCAAACTATCCAAAACCAGGTGTTTCTGCTCTAGCAACCTGGCTTTGGTTGGCAATCGTTTCTTTTGTGCATAGGGTCCCGCTGCTAGTGGATGAAGATGTCAGACCGCTGCAAACGTGCTGGTCTGACCCCACAGACGCCCTTGACCTCAACAGCATCGTCTATGGTTGATTGTGGATGATCTCGCCTACTGTAGGGCTCCAAGTACCTCCTCAGAAGGTATTTGGACCCTCCAAACCCACCTCAAACACCTTCTCAGAAGGCACTTGGAGCCCAAGCGGGCTCAGGAAACCAACCGGAAGTATGGAGCCCGTGTCGTTCGAGCAACCATCAATTGACCTCTGTGCTCCAATGCCATCGCTGCTCAATGCGGTTTGAAACCCACTTCCCAGTAGAGCTGGTGCAGGTCTTCATGGATTATGATTTAGTGCTGAAGTGAGAGGTGTTGCGTCTTCTAGCTTTTTAATTATATTATCCTGTTTTCAGCTGGTGTGTATTGTTGTGTCATTGTTACTCTAGCCCATAGCAGTACGACTTGGGACAGAACACTCTTCCCAGTTGAAACCTTTCATAGAAACATTCCAGTTTTGAAACTGGGAGCTCACAATGGTTCGTTTCTAGGTTCGGTTTCGATCATAGATTCTGATGTATACCGTCTTGTTGCAAAAGGGAAGAATTCACCAGCGTACAGTTTAGTCCAGATGTGAGAATCATGAAAATCAAGCACCTTTCATCGCACATGTTTCAGAACAAAATGCATTTGATGAAGATGCTGTGGCCAAGACCTTCACATTATAAGCTTGGGTCATAACTAGTTTCTATGATCTCAAACGTGTTGCTTGCATATCTCAAAGGAAAGGCCTTGACTGTCTTTGATCATACACTGTTTGATAAATAATCTGCCTTCAAAGGTTCATGGACGTTTTGTTTTGTCTGAGCAAAAATGTTGGCGATGGAATTTAGGGCCAAACTTGCCGAGGGTTTGAGAGAACACGTCAATCCCTTCGTCCACCGATGCCACTGATGTTATTTGTTTGGCTTGCTTTGTTTTTTAACAGAGTGCCCAGGCTGTTGATTCTGCAAGAAAACATCCGTCCTGGAACTCTCGAAAGGAGCCGTAGCTAGAGCAGACCGCCTCTCTCCTGAGGTTCCTGTGTGGAAGCAAGTGCCTTTACGACTTTGATCACCCCTCTCATGCCGCCAAGCAAGCACAGCCCAACACCGACGCATTTCGATCGTCAATTAGCATGTGCCTGGGCTCCAACGACCTTCGAAGGTATTTGTATGCCATAGGCAGGGTGACCGGGGTGAGTCTGGCTTATTGTCGCTTGTTCTTTCTTTTTTTCAATGAATGGCAAACAGTGCGCGTGCAGAGTCCAAAAACTCAATTTGGCTAGTCTATGCTTGTCACTTCCACCTATTATAACACATCTGACACATCCCCACCGTTTTTGTTTGTCCAGGTTGTCCCCCAAAGCTGGTGAATCCCCAAGGACGGGATCCTGGGAAAGCTGCGGAACAGCATCCGGACCGGATAGTTGACCGTTCGATATAAAACCAATTGAAACGGGATGAAACGGGTCAACAATGGTAGGGCACCTTGTTGTTAGCGGATCTTTTTCCAGACAAGTCTAAGGTTTTTGCTAACACTCAACAATGGAAACAAACATTGAAATCAATTGGTCTTCCTTTTGCGTTGAAATCGGTTCTTTGTGTTCAATAGGTACCGGTGATGTCGCTGTAGGTACCGGTGATGGTTTTGGCAAGGCGGTGGAACATGCACCACTGTGTGGCTCCAGCGACAAGCCGGAACGGCTATGGTTTGGCAGTGACAAGTAGAGGTGTTTTCTGGCATGATCTTATGATAGGTGAGAAGTTGTTTGTCACCCAAATCTATCTAGTAGATATGTATCATTGTTTTCTGGCAGTGACAAGTAGAGGTGTTTTCATGTGGCTGGGCCTGGGTAGATCTGGGTAGTGCTTTTAGAGATGTTCTCAGTTCATCTTTTTCTTTCAACAAAAAGGCCGATCTTCTAGGCTCGGAAAGGGATGTTTGTGGCACCTACGCTTTGTCTCTCCCCCCAAGAAAAAGCATCTTCCCAAGAAACCAGGTTGATGAAACCACTCCATGTCACCAGCTGGCCAGTTTGGAGCCCTCAAGTTTGGGCTCCAAGTGGCCTGCAGCTGGTGACATGTGACCACAGCCAGCCATGAGGGAATGAGAGCGGAAGTTCTCCCGAAAGCCTCGCTCACTAGCTTGTAAGCTTGTTTTGCAGGTTCAAGAACAGCCCCAACAAATGATGTTTTAGCCCAGCAACAGCAACCGGAATGGCTCAGCGACCACAAAACGTTCTTCCATTGCCCCAACCTATTTAGTCCTTTTGGGGGGCATAGTTTGTTGTCGATCCCACAGTGAGCCCAGGTTGCCTATGTTTGGGATGAAGACGGCAAGTGCTGGGACTACTTAAAAGGCGCGGAGGACATGGACGGTCCACCGACGGCGTTCAGTTATCCCACTGCGAGTTGCTTCGTACTGACACCATTTCAAACTACCCGAATAATACCAAACCGAGACAGCAGGTAGGGGTTTGAGGTTAACGGAGAAGGGTTTGAAGCAGTTCAAAAAGGGGTCCGTGGCAGGAGCCTCAGTAGATCGTGCACACGTACTGGAGCAGGCCTGCTTGAGGTTTGAAAGGCTCATTGATAGCTTATTTGCTGGTAATTATTGGTGTTGTTCCTACTACCATTGATTCCCACACATTACCGCACAAAAATACCTCCTCAACAACAACAACAACAACAACAACTACAACTACAACTACAACAACTACAACTACAACTACAACTACAACTACTACTACTACTACTACTACTACTACTACTACTACTACTACTAC